ACGAAAAAACATTCATGGTAAAATATCACATTATTCATGATCAATGCATTATAATTTCACACTGTGACATATCAATGTCATATCGAAGTTATAAAAATGACATGTTATCATGTTGATATAAACAAGGTCGACTTGTCGCAAGTCTTCCTGATGATGTATAAAATTTTGACTTTTTTGTCAAGGTCAACGGTCAATGGTGGTCAACAGTCAATGACTCGGTCCAGGCGGCTCCGCTCAGCTTGGCTCGGCTCAAATGGCTCCCCTGGATGGCAAACGATGTCCACTCTTAGGGGGCGGCACGTGTGGTGGCTCCGGTCGTCGGTTCGGCGTGAAATTGTCCATATTTGTAGATCGAGACCTCGGGAGTCTCGTGCAAGTGCTATATTTCATCAAAACATAACGGATTGTAGAATTTTAAAACGTACCAACTTATCCGACGGTGGTCGGCGAGTGACAACGACGGAGCAACAACGGCGAGACAATTTTGGTTGGGTTTTGAGCGCACGATGTTGGTGAGTCCAATGGTGTAGGAGGTGTGATGAATAGGTGGTCGGATCGACCGGAATCGATGAAAATAAATGACGGATAAATTAAAACCGACGAAACTTCCGATTGAGTTTTATGGCGAACGACACCTATTCACAATGGGATAGAGGTTAGGTTTTTTTCACTGTTCAATGGTGAATCTATTGGTGGTGTCGGATTGACGAACGATGGTCGTATGGTAGAGAATCAAGGCTACAAAAATTGGTCGATGGAGAATAAAATTGGGGAAAACATTTGTGTAAGTTTCTGGAGAAAACCAGGGAAAGGGGTTTTATTTTTCAACATCTAAGAAAAATGGATAAATTCAGGACTGGATCCCTGAATTTCCTTTAATTTTTAAATATGTCTATAAGTTTCGAAAACTTATAATTTATCCCCTAAATTGAAGTGTTTAATTCATTTCTTTTCAAATGATCATTATATCCTTACATCCTTACTTTTTTGCTATTCAATCCAACACAAAGATATTCCAATTAAGTTCCTGAACTTTTAATTTTTTTCTTCAAAATTGACCATAAATTTTCAAAACTTACATTTTAGTCATTAGCCGACTTTTTGGGATGTTACAATTCTCCCCCTTAAGAAAATTCGTCCTCAAATTTTTACTGCACAAAGAGATGGGAAACTGTCTACTCATATCTTATTTTCACTTCCTTGTTATACTATGGAACCACTTCTTTCAAAGATCTCATAAGGTCTAATGAATGTAGGGCTGAGCGATACTATACAGATAATCTTATTCGGGACAAGATGTTAAGAAATACTTTATCACCTACCTAGAAGTTCCATTTCTTTTCTTTTTAAATATGTGTAGAACTTCTGATAACTATCAGCTATCTTAAAATTATTATTTTTTCTTATTAATCTTCACTTTTTCTTCAATTTCTTTGATCCAATATGTCCATACCAAATCTCAATATTTCAATTTAACTAACTTAATGGTGTCCAACATCGCTTTTACATAATACTTCACTTGAAGCTATCTTGATACCTTTCTTTACTTGCCGTTATACCACTCATTAAAAAACTCAATGATAACTCTTTTTGTGGCATGATAAGATTCATCCGACTTTAAGTCTTTAACTCTCCTTTTTTGGTTACAATTAATAAACTAGTCTTCAATCTGCAAGGAATTCCATCCATTCCTATCTTTTCACTCCTTCAATTCTACACCTACTTTTAATCTTTATAAATCCATATAAATATAATGTCACATGCAGATAATAATATTCTATCAGTATTGTAATCCCCAATCCTTACAACTCAAGGTCATGAGTCAATTGATTTTCTTCATCAATCTCTAATGACTTACAACATAAACCAAACCTTTATTCTTGTACCATCTTCACCTGAATTACAATACATACTTCTTTCCAAAATTTACTTATATTAATCTTGAAATTGATGTCAATATTCTTTTTATCATCTCAAAAATAACATGCATATCTTTAACAACTTAATCAAAGAGAATATAATCATTCAAATATATCTCAAGCTTCCTTCCTACATATCAATAAATCCTTATCTCTTTGACTACATTTACATGGCTAAGAAACATAACCTTAAACAAATACATGTCACACTTTGTTAACTTATCCTGACATTTTTCTTCCAATCTTTTAAACTCTATTACACTCATCCCCTTGCATAATTTTTAAAGCCTGAATAATTTGTTTAACTCACTATCTGTCTATGCATAAATACCAATGCTACAGTTAATTTGAATTCATGAGACCTTGTTCAAAGATTTCCACAACTTTGAGGTACCCTTAAATCTTCATCAGATATAGTTGAGACATATACTTCACAAAATTAAATAATTTTTTCATATAACCTTACATACTTATCCAAGAAATATTTACCTCTTTAAACTAAAGGGTGCTAACTTAATCCATTTCTTAATAAAAGTCCAAATTTAATCTCCACAGAAATTCTGATACAAAATTCATAACAATTCTTTATTATTTCCACTTATAATTGAAAATTTATTACTTATATACCAAACTTATAATCTATACCTCATCATAACACTTGTCATACTTGAGCCTTTAAACTCTATTACTCTTCTCATATTGGTATGAGAAATATCATCATAACAATTATACTCATATCTGATTACTAATTTTTATCATATATTATTAACCTTAATAGTCAACACTACTTGCACATAACTTTATTCTTTATCATTCTTATACTTGTATTTTCTCCACTTGATTAAGCAATTACCAGATTCCAATACTCGCGTAATCCATTTAAAATACTTTTCTACTTCAATTTACATAATTTCTAACAGAATTTTTTAATCCAATTCACAAAAATTGTATTTAAACCTGGTTTATTATCGATTAAACATTTTTATCTCCTTATTTAATCTTCCATCACCAGACCCTACTAATTGAGTTTGTTTAACTCTCATCAGATTTGATCCTCTGACAGAGGTAGACCGATTCTGAAGTTGAAAACCATAATCTCTATCTCTCTTTGATGGTGCTGAACTCTATGAAGAACTAATTCTCTTAATTATCTAAGATTTTTGTTTTCAAAACCTTTAATTCTGAGCTCTCTCTAGAGCTTTAGCGCGATTAACCAGTTCTTGAAACGAGAACAAATTCAAAACCAGTAACACTCTTTTAATTTAAGGCACATCCCTAAACAACCAATTACATGCATCCCTTTAAGTCAGAATTAACTCAGTAACAAATATGCTTAGTTTATTAAACTTACATTCATACCCATACACGGTGTAATTCCCTTGCTTCAAGCTTATATATTCTAGTTTCATTTGTCTTCTAAACTGGTAATCGATGTACTTATTCTTGAACTCTTCTACAAACAAAAACCACGTCACTTGATCTTTTAACATTCTCATGATGACCTTTGTTCATCATACTCTAGTTTGTCACGTATTAACGAATTACTCCATCTAATTTCTCCACATTGGAGCAGTGAAAACCTTTTAACATCATTTTCATATCATTTAACCAAAGGTCTACAGCAACATAATATTCCTCGGCTTCACCCTTGAACTCGGGTGCTCCTAATCTTTTCAACTCTTTCGCAATATTTATTCTTTGAGTTGAGGGAACAAGAGATTAGAAACACATCAGAATATTATTCAACATCCTAAAAAACATCCCCTAATTTTATACAGGCACTCCCTGAGGTGTTAGCTCTTCACCCTGCTTGGTCAGGGCAGGTGAATTGATATTACCTTCAGGTCTATCGCCTCTTGCTTCACTTCAGAAGCTCTCATAGTCAGACATTTAACATAATAATTTAACTATATTAGCAAGACAACACACTCTTTACACTATCAGATCAAAAAAATTTCACTTTGTTTTAACATATCCTTAAGTATCTTGAGCACAATACAAAGATAAACATCATGTTCTTTCTTTATCTTCGTGTATACCAGAATGTCATCAATAAAGACCACCACAAATTGATCCAATTAAGGTTGAAATACATGATTCATCATATCCTCGATGTAGTAGCTCTTGCTATTGAGCTTTCATTCTTTTAACTCAATTTCATCCATTTGATATTAAAACATATATACAAAATCAAAGCCCTGATAATCATAATATCTTGAATTTCACCTCTCGGTATGGAGATAACCCAGATAATAAATCTAAAAAGACATTTGGAAATTTTTGAGTTATGGAAATATCATATGATTTTACTTTAGATACTTGAGTATCTATCACCTTAGCTTGAAAAGCTATGCATCCTTTTTACATCATTTTAATCATATTCATTGTTGATATCATGATAGTGATGTTCTCATTTTTTTCATCAATCACTAATATTTCCAATTTATCCACATCTTTCTAAATCAATCTCTTCTTACGACCATCAACACAACCTTAGTGCAAAAACGATCAATCCTTACTCAATATAATTTAAAACTCGTTAAATGATAATCCCATAAGATTCATCAGGAACATAAGTCACTGAATCTTTATCGAACATTTTCTACCTGTCCGACTCACACTTGCATCATAACCCATAGGTTTTCCGCTATAATATCACTTTTTATCAAGTTGAATTGAATATCTCTACTTTAGAATTCCTTAATTCATTCTTAAGAAAATTTGTAATTTTTCCATATCCATAGAATTTATTCTCGAGCAGTTGAAACATCTTTCATATCAATTAAAACTCTAAATGTCCACATTGTTCAATAAGAAAAATTGACAATTTGTAGCAATAACTTCATAGTAGTTAATGCTAAAATCACACTAGTAAATAAATTTACTCTTTTTCTTATCATTATGAACTTGACACTTTTCAAGTTCTTGAGAATCAATCTCAATCTAAACAATAATTCATTGCAGCATGGAAAGTTATACAATCCATTTCACAAATTTACCTTCACAAGGTAATTCTATCAAGTTTTATGGACTTGATATATATTCTTAATCCAGCTCATAATCATTTGATTCACTAATAACTCAATTTTCTGTAAACTTTTAGCAGAAATCATATTTACCGCTTACTCAATCAACAATGCTTTAAACAATTTAATGTTTAACTTAAATATTTCTCACTTATTTAAGCTACCCATAGGCTAAAGAAAATGAAGTTTCCCCAGTTGGGTAACACCCGAAGTGAGATAATTTTAACCTCGATGGGTAACACAACCTCCATCCCATAGGCTAAAGAAAATGAAGTTTCCCCAGTTGAAGTCCTTACTGAAGTTCGATAGGAAAAAAAGAAGAAATTTTAACTTCTCATGCCAGTCTTTATAAGTCTCAGTCATTTTCTATATGAGCCTCTTAATATTCTTATTGGCTGCCTCTATTACCCTATTCATCTTTGAGCGATAAGTAATGGAATTATGATGTTTTATCTAGAACTGTTTACATATTGATTCCATCATCTTATTCTTTAAATTCAAGGGATTATCGGTGATGATCCTTTCGGGTAACGCATACCCGTAGATAATCTTTTCTTTAGGAACTTGCATACTGTTGACTGAGTGACATTTGCACAAGAAAACACTTCTACCCACTTAGTGAAGTAGTCTATTACCACCAATATGAAACGATGACCATTGGAAGCTTTGAGCAAAATTTGCCCAATGACATCAATGCCCCACATAGAGAATGGCCACGGAGCAGTCATTACGTGTAATGGATGAAGAGCGACATGGAGCTTGTCTCCATAAATCTAGCACTTTTGACATTTTCTGGCGTAATTGATACAATTAGTTTCCATGGTCGACCAATAATACCCAAATCTCATTATTTGTCTTGCCATTGTTTGTCCATTATCATGAGTACCACATACTCCCTCATGCACTTCTTTAATGATTGTTTTAGCTTCTTTGGCGTCTACACATCTCAATAAAACTCGATCATGACTTTTCTTGTACAAGATCTCACCATCAAGCATATATCCTGGAGCCATTCTTCGAATAGTTCTTTTTTCATTCTCAATTGCCTGTTCAGGATAGCTTTGATATCTGATATACTGCAAGATATCATAATACCATGGATTTCCATCATCTTCATCTTTTATGCTATAGTAGTGGGCTGGATACTCATAAGCTTGCATCTTTATAGGCATCATATTTGAATGTTCATTGACTTTGAAGGTTGCTGCCAAAGTGGCTAGAGCATCCGCTATTTAATTCTCTTCTCTGGGGAGGTAATGGAATGTCACTTCCTCAAACTCTTTAATGATCTCCAAGACCAACTTACGATACTACACCAATTTGGTATCTTTCGTTTCATATTCACCTCTAAGTTGATAAATTACCAAATTTGAATCCCCATACACTTTGAGTGTTTTTACTTTACGCTCAATGGTAGCTCTAAGACCCATAATACATTCTTCATACTTAGCCATGTTGTTTGCGCAATCAAAATTCAATCGGCTGGTGAAATGATAATGTTTTCCAATAGGTGAGACCAAAATTACCCCAATTTCGTGCCCTAAGGCATTCGAGGCTCTCTCGAAATCCATATACCAATGTTCATCAGTAGAAGTAAGTTTCTTAGGTTGAAATAGACATTAACTCTTCATCTAGGAAATCGAAGCTAAGCAGTTCATATTCTTCCGAAGCCATGCTTGCAATGAAATCTATTATAGTACTCCATTTAACTACTTTTTGGCTTACATAATGGATATCAAACTCATACAATAGAATTTGCCAACGAGCCAATCTCCCGGATAAAGCAGGTACACCCATTAGATATTTTAGAGGATCAAGTTTAAAGATCAGCCAAGTAGTGTGATACAATATATACTGTTTGAGCCTTTGAGTAGTTCAAACTAAAGCACAACACTACTTTTCTATTGGTGAGTACCTTGCCTCGCAATCAGTGAACTTTTTGTTGAGGTAGTAGATTACACTTTCTTTAGCATTTGACAAATATCCCTTTATTGCTTCAAAATCTCCTTGGCAATCATTGTTTTATATCCCTGGGTTATTTTTACTGAGAAGGCGAAAAATGATATCACACTTCTCGGTTAATTGTGAAATAATTTGAGCGATGTAGTTTAATCTTCCCAGAAATCATCAAACTTCTCTTTGTGTTTGTGGGGTGTGGTAAATCCTGAATAGCTTTGACTTTGTCTGTATCTAATTCAATATCTTTTTTACTCACTACAAACCCCAGAGTTTCCCATACGTTACCCCAAAGGTACACTTGCTTGGATTGAGTTTTAGCTAGTACTTACTTAATCTTTGGAAGAGTTTCCTCATATTCTCTATGTGTTCTTCCTTTGTTTTGGCCTTAACAATCATATCATCAGCATAAACATCTATTTCTTTGTGCATCATGTCGTGGAACAGTGTTACCATGGCTCTTTGGTAGGTTGCCCCTACATTCTTTAGCCCAAACGACATCACCTTGTAGCAAAATGTGCCCCACATGGTGAAAAACGTAGTCTTTTCCATATCTTCAGGATGCATCTTTATTTGATTGTATCCCAGAAACCCATCTATGATTGAAAATAGGGAGTTTCCAGCAGTATTGTCCACCAAGGTGTCTATGTGGAAAAAGGAAATTATCTCTGCAATCAACGCACATGCAAACTTCCCCTCTTCTTCAGTACTGGAACAATGTTTGCTACTCATTCTGGATATTTAACTACTTTAAGGAATCCAACATCAAATGCTTCTTTACTTATTCCTTAATTTTTAACAGCATTTCAGGTAGCATCCTTCTGATCTTTTGTTGTATTGGTTTATGTTCTAGATTTATCGGTAATTTATGCACCACTAACTCAGTATCTAAACCTGACATGTCCTCATATGTCCAAGCAAACACTTCTTTTTACTCTTGAAGTAGCTCAATCAGACTTTGTCGTCCCTTAGCAGATAGGGTGGTGCCAATCTTTATCTCTTTCTTATTTTCCTCTTATCCTAGATTCAAAATTTCAATGGGCTCTTCATGAAGCATAATCTGTTTATCTTCTCTCTCCACCATTTTTAGCAATTCAGATGGTAAGTCACATTCCTCATCATTATCATAACCCTCGACTTCCCCCTAACTTATAGGCAGCTCGAAATCTATCTCCGGGTCAGAGTTATCAACATTCATAATATTGACACCGAAGGTCCTAAAAAATAATGAACGATATCGTATATATACATATACATATACACATACAGGAGAAAATTATCCCATATCAAAATAGAATGAAATAATAATATATAATAAATAAAGAATGAAAAAATATGCACGGGAGAATGTTTGCCACTTTGTGAATTGACAAGAATGCATCTTTCATTAAATATTTTAAAAACAAAAAGATTAACCCCTAACAAAAGATCATTTTTGCCTTGTGTTTTAAACAATAGGGAAAGTTTTTTGTGTTTTACTCTAAGAAAGTTTCGTAAACTACAAGTAATTCTTCTGCAGTCCAATTATTTGGCATAAAGTATGGCGGTGCTGGATAGATGCCCATAGCTCTTTCTTCTTCAATCTCCTATTCTGATATCACATTTATGCCCAAATCCCTCGAGGTATTCTCAACAACTAGCTATTTAATTGTCTGGCCTCCCTGAAATATGGCCCCCGACATGAAAGTGTCACATAGTGGCGGAAAAGTTAAAGGCTTTCACTTATTATCCTCCCCAGCTAGTCTTGTTTTCCTCCTCTCCTGGATCTTCTGAATACCTCTCAGCTTTTCCTTCAAGGTCGGGTGGTATCCCAGGCCAAAGTTATCTCTCTTGATGACAAGAAAAACTAGATCAACGGATCCACATAGGCGGCTCCCCATCCCTCTTCTAGCATTGGCTCCCTTTCCCAGAGTTATTTTCAGTCCCATTTTGGTATAATTGGACATCATGGGCTTTGATATTTTCTTCCCCTCAGCCAAAAAGGTGGTATTAACAAACTCCAAGGACCTGAAGGATCACTGAACAACTTCTTCCTCTACTTCGACATATGGAGCGCTAGTAGATATGGAAGCAATGATGTATTACTCGACATTAACACATATTAGTCTTCCCTCAATTACGAACTTGAGCTTATGATGCAGAGTGGATGGAACGACTCCTTCCTGGTGGATCCAGGGCCTTCCCAATAAGCAATTATAGGTCGACATGATATCCATGACAAGTACGTAATTTGACCTCGTAAGTTGATGGGTCTATGGTCAAAGGGATATCAATATTCCCCCATACCTCTTTTTTCATTCCCTCGAAAGCTCAAATGACGCTTTGGTAATTTCTTATGTGCGTACCGTCGATCGACAACTTTTTCAGAGCCACTAACGACATCACATTTAGTGCAAACCCATTGTCAAGTAGCACTCGGGATAACACTGCCCCTTGCATCTGATGGTAATGTGCAGGGCCTTAGGATTGCCAACCATCCCGGATGAGATCTCATCATTGGAGAAAGAGATGAAATTATTGGCTTGGATATTCACAACTAGTCGGTATATCTTTTCCAAAAGTACATCATTTGGTACGAAAGTCTGATTCAAGACTTTCAACAATGCATTTCGGTATGCTTCGAAGCTTAACATAAGAGCCAAGATTGAGATGTGATCCGACAGCTTGCACAGCTGCTCCACGATGCTATACTCGCTATGCTTTAAAAATTTCAGGAACTCTACAGCCTCATTTTCCGTTACAGGCTCATTAATCACCGGCTCATCATGCTTCAGCAGTATCTCAACCCTTTTCCCTTTATCAGCAGCCGCTCTTTTCTCATGTTCATTGGTCTGATTGGGAGAATAACATCTCCCACTTTTGGTGAAATGGCCTACCTCATCCACTTCTCCTTTGGCGACCTCTGAAACACCCACGTTATTTAACTGGCACTTCTATCTCCAAGGGACCTGTTTATTATCCTTATAAGGGAAAGAAGATGGGGGTGTGATAATCACTTTAGGGGTTACTCTCTCTACCACATGAGTTTTTCGTGTGATTACCATAAGACAGTTGGCATTGTAGAATCCACTGGATGAACCTTCGGACGCAACAATCTCTGTTTTCTCCTCCTCCGTAACTTCTTGGTAAAATTTCATTTCCTTGTTATCCATCAGCCTTTGTACCAAGGCTCGAAACTCAACACAATTTTGAATGGCATGACCCTCACAGCTGTGGTATGGGCATGCACGCTTGCTATCAACACTAAAGGTCAACAAGCCCATCTTGATATTCTGCCTCCACACCCAATACATGAGTGACTTTACCTCATTCATCTTGCTTATAATCTTCTTTCCACTCTCCTTGATAATTGTATTAACACCTGCCCCTGCATGGTTCGATAGTGGGTTCGGAGCCACATTGGGTTGTTTACTGTCACCAAAGTTGATAACGTTATTCTGCCTTAATTTTTGTATAATATTTTTAAATACAATGCAATTTTCTATTGAATACCCTGAAGCCCCCGTGTGATATTCACATTGGGCATTGGTGTCAATCTAATTTGGGTAGGGAGGCTTTATCGGTGAAGTGTGGTAAGGTGAAACCACATGCTTATCATACAAGATCTGAAACAATTCTTTGTAGGTCATGGGGATTGGGTCAAATTGAAGCCTTCCTCTTTCTTATCTCGGTTCTCTTGCCCCTTTTCTGGAAGAGTTATGTGTGGATGACCTTGTGGTTTGTGGTCAAGACATAGTAATGTTGTTGGAGTCATATTTCCTCACATTACTAACTTTATTATCCTTTCTTTTTTTTCGGCGACTTCCTATTAGATTCTCCTCCGTCAAGTTTCCCACTCTTGATTTCCATTTCAATCATCTCTCCTGCTGTGACCACATCAACAAAACTCTTTGATGAATTTCCTATGAGATTTTCAGAGTATTCACAAAGAGCATGTTAATTTCTTCTTCCTTAAGCGGTGGATGAACTTGTACAGCCACACCCCTCCACCTTTGGGCATATTGCCTGAAGCTTTCGTTAGACCTCTTCTCCATTCTATGTAACATGATTTGATTAGGCCTCACTTCTTTCACGTGCTTATATTGGTATAGAAAAGATTTAGCCAAGTCCTTCCAGGATTTAATTTGAGCCCAACTCAACTAATTGTACCAATGGATGTCTGATCCTGCCAGGCTCTCTTGAAAATAGTGGAGTAAAAGTTGGCCATCTCCCATATAGCTGGTCATTTTTCTGCGGAACATAGTAATGTGTGCAGAAGTACATCTTGTGCCATCAAACTTTTCAAAATCCAAAATTTTGAACTTGGGTGGCAGCACTAAATCGAGAACTAGACTTAGCTCCTTGGCATCAATCCCATACTTGCTAGCATCTTATTTCATAGCTCGTTTCTCATATTACATTTGTTCCCATTCCTCCTTAAATTGCTTACTCTGCTTTGTTTTCTCCTCCTCATCCAAATCTGGGACATCCTCAACATGGTGCAAATTTACAGAAGTGCCAAGTAAGTTTATGTGTATTCTTCTTGGATGAGAAGTCGCTACCTGTTGTGCCCTAACCTTCGATGGTGTAAAGCTAGGGGATATAAGGGTTCTTCGAAGGAGCCAACAATGGGAGCCTTTTCACGATCAACTTGTGGTTCAAAGCCTAGGGGATACACAGGTTCCTCGACAGTAGCATCGTTAATCAGTCTCTTCCCGACTTGTGTTCTTTCCTTGCAACATACTTGCTAGCCTTTCTGTCATATCATTATGTGCCTTCAACATTTTCTCTTGCATATCTTATTGAGCTTTCTTGAAACTCTATTGGATTTCGAGTTGAGTCCTCTTAATTTGGGCAATTCTTTCATCCATTGCCTTTTTTCAATTATGGTACGGATGCTTAGAAGTGTCCAATATTCTGTCATACAACCTTTTTATTAATATTGGTATTTTACTAATGAACGTGAAAAATATGACTATTAATGAATAAAATGCAATGCGAAAAGTAAATGCAATGTTGATGCAATATAAAGGCAATGCAAGGTGTTACTTCTGGAAAGATTCCTTAGAATAACTTTTTATATTAGAAAAGAAGTTCGGTTACAAGGCTTAAACATATCACATATAAATCTAAGCTATTTCTTCTAATTGTTGTATGTGCCCCAGCAAATCTAAAATCCTCTGAGCTTTTTCAGTCTTGGGCACCAATCCTTTACTTACATCATCAACTTCATGTGATAAGTCAACCAAGTACTGAGCCACTCCTTAAGCATCTGCAGGTAGCTCACGATGAAGTCATCCCTTTGCTTAACCCTCCACTGAGCCTGTTCCTAATAATGGTGCCACTGTATAACTCCTTCATAAGGGACCATCGACAGTTCACTTGCTCTTCTTTGAAAATCTTGAACCATGGCCTCTAGTTCATTCATATATTTTTTCAAGCTTTCAACTTCTGCATGGTTTGAACTTCTTTCTTGACTTCGGTATCATCATAAAGCTATCTCTAAACTCAAGATTCTACCCTTCAATTTCTCATTCTGGGCCCGACTCTCTTGTAGTTGTTGCTCTAGTGCACTCTTTTCTCTTGAAAATAGTTTTGCCTAATGTCTACTCTGTTTAAGCTCTTCACTGCCTTTCCCAACTTCTCTTTTTAAACTCGCCACTTCCTGTCTCCATTCAGTAGGAGATTTAATTGAGCTAGTGGCCATCTAAGCCTTGATCATTCGTTAGTAAAATAATTGGAGATCATCGAAGTTCAATCTGAGTTGCTTCTCTACTTTTTCGATCCGGTCAGCTTGACCCTTTTAGATATCGACTTCTAAGATTCTCTAGTACGACTTATCCTCCAATCTATGTAACATCTCATTCTACTATTTCCTATCGGTCTCAAAATCAAGCCTGGCTTGTTCCAGTGGAGATGGTACCACTCTGAGATATTCTTTCATAGGTTGAGTATTTTCAAGATTAACCATCGGGACATTATCATTAATTTGTTGCTTCTCCACTCCTCGTACTCTTGTGACAGCCTTAAGTCGAAGGGAAAGAGATTTACTCTGTGAGTATGCTTTCATGCATCATCAACCCCTTTGACTTTATTCTTGTATTGCTCTTATTTGAATGCAAACTCAGACCCGGATAAATACCAAATTGCCAGAATAAATTGTCTCGACCCATACTACCTAAAAACTAGTAATGGAGTATACCCTACAAAACCCCATATGCCTAGAAACAGAACCCAATCTCTTTCTCCACACCTGTACAACATGTCTGAGGAAACGTTCCACGAAGCACGCCACAATATATCACTATTTTAGATATCTTTGAAAATGGCCATCCATTTCTCTTCAGTGAAACCCCCAGGCCATTATCAAGAAAGAAAATCCTTTAAAGGTGAAAATCCTTTTAGAAACACTCGATCAGGTACCCTCTTGACGTGTTTGAAGTGACTGAGGATCCAGACTAGCAACAGCGGTGCACACCCTATGAAACGCCATTCTCTTTCTTATCTGTAAGAGTCCAGGGAACGAAAGGTTTTTACCAAGATAGTTAGAACGGGATCCACATGTTTTTCTAGTCTCTCGAACACGTCAACCACTAATACATCAACGTGCCCCAGAACCTTCAGGAATATGACTAGCCCATAAATACCCAGAGCAAACAAGTCAATCTCCTTCATTCTTTTAGGATGATGGTCGATCACTTCTCTCAGAGCGTTCCAGGTAATGTAGTCGCTATCTCCCTTCTTTTTTATGCCTCTTACGACCCACTCTTCACTCATGCTGGTCATCAGAAGTAATTTCTTCTTAAAGGAAAGAGTATTTAGTGACTTGATGTACACTTTGTCTGATTGGAATCTCAAAAAATGAATCAAGGCATGGTACTTGTAACACCCCAAACATCGGGTCAATGCCCAAAATGTAAGAAATTAAATTTTAATGGTTTAAGTAGAATAGTTGAAAAGTTTAAGGACTAACTTTAGAAATTTTGATTAGGAGTTGTTATCAAAGAGGAGATATTGGAGGGGTATTATGGTCTTTTTGAATGAAAGGAATTTTTATATTCCTTTTTAAGGGATATATATCACGTGTAGGAAAGAAAGAAAGAAAAATATGGAAACCCCTTTTTGTTATCTTCTTTTTACCATGAGCTTCTATATTTCTAAGGTAAGTTAATTTAAGTTGTTTGTTTCTTCAAATTTCAGTTTGGTGTTGAAAGCTTGGGTGATATATAAGCTTAAGGAAAGATTGTGGTTGAATAAAACCAAAAGATGAGTGAAATAATGATGAATATGTATAATGGGTTTTTAAGGAAATTGTTGATATGGTTTAGTTTTTGGATTTCTATTGATAAATTTGACTTATCAAGGGTCTAATTAAGGAGTTAGAAGGATTATAAATGATTAAGAACATGTTTGAATATGGTATGATTTTGATATTCAAGTGTTCTAGTGAGATTTTGGATATTTAGGAGTATTAAATTTAGATAAGTTGGTTTTGATGAATGAAGTTGAGTTTAAAGGCATAAAGGGAGATAAAATTAGGAGATTTAGGTAAGTTTTGGTTACTTTTTGAAATAAAAATGGTAATTTATAGGCAAGGGTATCGATACTGGAAGAACAATACGGATACTTCAAGCCAAAATTAGTTTGAGCTCGAGGATCAGTATCGATACTGATTGAAGGAGGTACAGATACTGAAAGGGGAGTATCGGTACCAAAAGTAAGGTATCGATACCATTCTCAAGTTTGAATTCTAGAATGCCAAAATGGCATCGGTATCGAAATGGGTATCAATACCATAGAAGGGAAATATCGGTATTGTAGGAGAAGTACCGATACTAGTTCACTTGAAATGATGAATTAAGTATTTTTTTTAGCTTAAGTTATTATGTGTGGTTATAAGCGATATTCATTTTCAATTGTTCTTGTGTATACATTAAACAAAGACAAATTCCGGACAATTCGACGTTATAAGTTATTGATCAAGATTGATAAGGATTTTTCTAGAACTTACGTAAGGCAAATGTGAGTGCAACTCATTTGTTTTATATTAGATTTGAGGGTGGTTTACGATAAGTCAACCTCCTAGTTTTCGATCGAAAACTTTTCTATTTCTTTTATGTTCTATTTTTCAATGTTTTATTCAAGTTATTATACTTAAATTATGTTTTGATGTTTATGTGTACATGATTTATGAAAATGTGACATGTGAATATGTGTATACAAAATTACTCGATGTGAAAGTGCCTATGTGAACAAGATATACTTTGAATAACGAAATGATGAATAATTATGTGGTTAAAAGCCCAAGGTATATGTATGAGGATTAGAGGTATAGTTGGCATGCCAAGAGTCGAGGGTTCTATGTGGTTATTCGGGACAAAACTATGTGGTCCTTCGGTGAAAATTATGTGAGTTGTGGTGACAGCATTAGTGCTCAACCTCAATGTACTCAAATACCTAGAGTTCTCAGTAATATACATTGGGCCATTAAAACAAAGTTATATGAACCGAAAAATGAATAAAAGAATCTATTCATATTATGAAAAGCAATTTGAATTCCTTATGAAATGTTTTATGACATGAATATGAAATTTTTCTTATAAAGTTTTATTTGACTCATACTTGCCTCACTAAGTCAATGACTTAGCGTGTGATTGTTTCACACATAGGTTTGAAGAAAATAGAGGATTAAAGATAGACGAGGACATCATACTCCCACAATGATCATATCAGAACAATTTAAATTTAGGTTTCTTGTAAATTGGTAAACTATTGGCATGTACTACAAGTATAAATTGAAATGCTCTAATCTATTTTGTAAACTCTACTTTTTGTATTTATGTAAATTATTAAGGTTTTATTTAAATATGAATGTGAGTTTTTATTATTTACTTTGATTTAAGGGTTCCACCATTTTATTACAAATAAAAGGTTAAATTTTCCCTTACTTTTTAAGAGTAAATGTTTTGAAAAGTCAATGTGACACCTCGGATTTGTATCTGGATCGGGTACGGGTTAGGGGTGTTACATTTAATGGTCCTCCTCTATTATAGGTGTCATGTCAACTTGGCCAAAAGTGAAACAACTATAGGTGGGGTTCCAAAACTGTGATGAGCTCTAAACAGATTTCGATCAATCGGAACGTATAAGAGATACGAGATGTCACCATAGAGTTGATAAAACAACTGCTTACCGGATGCTTCCCACTTTTCCCAAATCTCTTTCAGCTCACTCAGGTCATTCTAACAGACATTGATGTGAGTACCAAATCAGATCTGATACGTACCCAGGCTGTAAACTGTCTCTATTTGTTACCTAGAACTACTCGGACCATCTCAGAATGTTTGCATTATCTTCTACCTCTTTTTGAATCCTTCATTCCATATTATTAGCCTTCTATATGAACATCAGTCACGGATCAACACCAATGGGATGAATAGTGCAATGCAAAATGAGAACAAAATAAAACAAAAGGAAAAGAGAAAATTAGTCAATAATCATAAAGGAATTAATTGGACATAATTTAATTTGTTGATAAAAAAACCTACCACACATGTTGGTTACCCAATCATGCTTTAGTAGATCCTACCCAAACATGATTTTCTACCCACATGCTTTGTTTATAGAAAATCCTAACCTCATACCATCTAGTTCGCATGCTCATTCGAAAAATTAAATCTAACCGCATGATCTCTAGTTCGCATACATTTATTCGGGAATCAAAATTACACTACAAAAATTAAAAGGCTCAAACAGGCTTTTCCTTCTGTACTCTCCTCACAGGATTTTTATGATCTGGGTAAGGCTCTATCTAGGTTCTAAGTTTAAAATGAATTTAATTAAATGAACATGATCTTTTTCCCAATCCCCAAATTTTAAAATGAATTTGATTTAATTCATGTCACTAAATGGGATATACTTTTGTTTTAAAATTATAAAATAACTTTCTTATACGTTAAGAGAGTCACTTTACGATAATATTAAAATGAACGAATATTACCCTTAGTCAATTTATTTTGATTCGAGTCAAAATATGCTTATGAGGGTATCATGCAAAATTAATTAAGGACTAAAATGAACTAACATACAAGCAACATGCAAAAAATAATATAAAAAAATAGGCTAAAGCATAAACAACCAAAACATCATGTCAAAATTAAAATAAAATAAAGTATATAAGTGAGTAAAATGAGCATGCTTAATATTGGGTGCTAAAATTAAAAAGAATAAAAATAAATAAAACATGGGGACTAAATTAAAATAAACTAAAATTGCATGGCCAAATTAAAATAAATATATATATATATATATTCTGGTTCGAAATACAAGCATGCATAAAATACATGAGCTATTTCCTAAATATTCCATTTTCTTAGCCTAAAATATACATTCGAATAAAAAAGGAAAAATTACAATATCAATCCATAAGCATTTAAAAAAATTAAACAGTCACTACACATGACCAAAATGCAAAACACACATAAATATACAGGGACTAAACAAAAAATAACCCTAAAACATATAATATACATAAAAGTGGTTAAATTACAAAAACAATCCATATAAGTGACTAACATGCAAACACATGCTAGAGTTAGGGGGCTAAACAACAATTAAACCAAAATTTTATAACATGCACAAGAAACGGGTAAATTATAAAACTGATCCCTACATGTGACTATTTTGCAAAAACACGTTAAAAGTTTAGGGGCCTAAGTGTGATTTCCCCTTAAACTTCTTCTATATATACAACTTTAATTTTTTTCATTTTAAACTGAAATCTAAAAACCAAAAAGCATTCATTTTTCTTTCTCTCAATTTCTTTCGGTCGGCCCACTTCCGGCCAAAAAAACTCACCCTCGGCCGCTAGTCGACCGCCGCACACGGTGGTCGGAGTTCCCAAATCGACCCAAGAAACCCAAAAAAAAAACAAATCTATACCCTAAACGTAGATTCAAGCCTAAAACATCCTAAATAAATCCCTAAACGCTCAGAAATACCCCCTCAACCCTTCGACTACCCACTTTCCGGCGACCACAACAACGACTAAAACTAAAACAAAAGCCTCCCAAAAACTCTGATCTGTCCTCCTAGACGCAGACCCGACTACTCCTCCCTAGGTAAACTACTCGACCTCTTTGGTTTCAATTTTGTTACATGCAAAGTGGTTGTTTTTTTATTACTTCGAAACTGTAAAATAAACACAAAAAATATACCTTTCAAAGTTTCTGACTTTTTTTGCTTTTTTCAAAATTGAAAACCTAGAGGAGAAGAACCCTTTTGTTTATAATGGTTCGAGGTTTTATAACCCCCGAATATTACATCTTTTGCTTTCTTTTTTTCTGATCAAATCAAAATGATTTCAAAAGGAAATGATTGTGTTGTTGCTTTGTTTTGTTTGTTGATGCATGTTGCGTGGAGTGTTTCCCTTGCTAATTTGGTGATCTGACATGGCAAGAGACTGATCTGGATTTGTCGAAGTGTTGGTGGTCGTGGATGGATGGAGATGGGCGGCAGCAGATCTTCATCGGGGCCGTTGGATCTCTCCCAAATCTAACGGATGGGATTTGTGCGATGGTAGCTAAAAGTGAAAACCCTAACTGGGGAATAATCTGGGCCGTTGGATCTGGGAGAGATCCAAAGGTTGTGATCATGCGGTGCCAAGAGAAGAGAGCTTAAGGTAAAAATGCTAACGGGTTTGGGTCTTGATGGGTTTCGAGTTTGGGTCTGATGTAACTTGGGGTCCCATTTTGTACTTGTATTTGTAATTTGGATTTGTAAGAAATAAAATAAAATAATAATAATGATAATAATAATAAAATCGGGATGAAGATGAGTGTCGACGATAGTCTTTCTTGGGTTTCTAGTTGTCGCGGCGATTAAAAAACATCAAAAGTTCATCGAGTTTTACAATGTAATAGATCCAACTAAAGATTTATAGAAAATGAATGGAAAATAGATCAATGGAAAAAAAGTTGCAATTGAATCCAGTAAACTCGGAGGATGTTAATTATGATATTGTAGGTGAGAGTATGTTACACCGTCAATTAATTTATCTAAAAGTGAGGTAAAATTTCAACGACGAGAACTCAAGTGCTCGTAGAAATTGTTTTATTTAGTAGTTGTGTGTTCAATAAATTTTCTTGATGTTTTTTTATGTGAAATTTGTTTTTTTATTAGATAGTTTGTTGGGTGCAATAAAAAATATAATTTATAAATAAAATAATTTATTTTTGTATACTCTTAGAAATTTTTAATATTTATTATTAGAGATCCAATTTTTAAATTCGCCTTAGGCTCCAATAGATATGTCATTTTCACTAACACTTAACATGATTGCATTTTTTTATATAATTAATGTGGGTTTGATTTTAAGTAATTTTCTTTCATTCTTTTTTTTTCCAACTGAATTTGTACATATATTTATTGATATAATTGAAAATTTCAGCAATAAGTGTAATGTGGGATATTGATTTGTGAAAATTACTTCCCCACAAACAACTTGGAGACTTCACAAGGCCTTCCATCATAAAAAATGAAAAGTGTTCAACTTCAGAAAAATCTATGGAAAGCTTGGAGTTTGTGAGAAAACTTGTCCCACGTGCAAATCTTCATTGAGAAGGAAGTGAGTTAAAGGAAGAAGAAGAAGACACGTAACATGGATTTTTTTTAATTACCACGTAACACTTTCTTTAAGAGGTTAAAGGAGTTAACGACTGAAGGACTAAAATATAACATATCAATAAAGTAAAGGACTAAAAGTACTTAATTTTCAGGCCGAAAACAAAATTAACTATTTAAAATATGTAATAATTTAAAATTTTAAGGGCCACCACTCCATCTCTAATTGTAATGGTGGAAATTTTTAAAGGCGGATCATTGTGTGATTGCTAAAGTATGATTTTTTTTACGTATTTTCTTGCTGAAAATTAAAAAAAAGATGGCTAAAGAAAGTAAATAGTATAACCTTCACAAAAGGGTTTGATAATATTTAGAATAAAGTTGAAAACACTACTTTCGTGTGCAACTTGCAAAACAAAGGTTGTTTCTCTAATAAAATATTATAATATAAACTTACGTTAATTACATTGATATCTACTCAACACGGACATATTAATTTTTTTCTAGAAAATATCACTTAAATGAAGGGCATTTGAAGTAAAAAATATTCACATTTTCATTTATAATATATATAACACACATTTTAGAAAAACGAGGATGGGAATAACGCAAATATTTGAGGTTAATCATCATGCTGGTTTTATAAGGTTATTTTATTTTACGACAATCTAATATAAGGTTGAAAAATGACGTTCTCGAAATATAACAAAAAATAATAAAAATCATCACATTTTTTATTACACCTAAAATTACTCTTTTTTAACCTTAAACTAAATTTTCGTTCCTTATAATCCTCTTATTTTGTGGCTTTTGGAACACTTGTAAATATTTACCACTGCAACATTGGCCACGCCAAATTGAGAAATAAAACAAATACAGTCATTAACTTTCTTTTCCTCATTTTTGGCATGCCTATTTGCTAACCAACGGAGATAGATTGGACATTTGTTATCGACTCACGAGCTAAATTATACATATACAATTAAAATTTTTGTATCAATTTATACCGGTTATAATTTAAAACTTATCGATATTTATTGATGGGACTTGAGGTACTTATCGGTCGAGTGGATCACGTATCGACTAGTGTTTAACTCGTGGTCATTTAAAAATTTTGTTGTTTGATTTAAGTCGTTGCTCGTTAAAATTTTATTCGATTCGTACTCTTTGAAAAAATTTGATACTCGACTCATTACTCTTTAAGCTCATTACTC